ATGAAGTACAGACTGTCTAATACTCCCTGTGAAAGGTTCAGCGGCAGCAGCAGCAGCTCCAGGTTTGGACGACAAACAGAGGAACATTCGACCCTGCCCTGCAGCTCTCCACAGGGAAAACACGTGTGATAAAAAGGGAATTTCCATCTTAAATAACCACTTTTCTCTCAGTGGACTTTGGTTGCTGTCTCTGCTTGTCCAATCAAAAATGTTATTTATCTTTAACACGTCCAATCTCTGCTTTTTCCCCCTCTGTCTTTTCCAATGTCTCTGGCACTGACAGATGTCAGTTTAATTCCACTTTAACATATGCTGCCCTTAGTCAGAAACCTGATAGTGATAATAATAATTGTGTGACCTGCAGGAAGCCTTTTAGTACATCATCAAGTCTTAAAGAGAGACTTACTGATAATCCACAGCACAGAGCATCATTGAAGACTCAGACTTGTTTATACTCCAGTGATCCATTCATCACCTAGGACTAATGACAGTGTATTTTAGCTGTTATTTTAGATACTTTTTTATTTTTAATTATTGCCTACTCCATTCTATTTCATGTCTGTGTATGTGGTCGGTCATCCAGGTGATCTTATCCAAAAATAGTTACATCGAGGGCAACTGGACAGAGTCTTGAAGATGTTTCACCTCATCCAGAAGACTTCTTCACTGCTACCATTCCATCAACTTTGATCTTTTTTTGTCATTCTGTTTGTAGGAGTCCTCGGAGCAGCAGCACGGGGCCGCATGACAAGAAGCTGGGCCTTATTCCCAGAGGGTCAGCAGTTCAAATATCATCCTGACAGGTGTGTATCTGTGTCTCGGAGTTTACACTGACCAAGAAAGCTGATTCTTTTTACTTTTATTTCCTCACTGTGTCTCCTCCTATGTTCAAATGTGTGCTTTCATTTGGTTGGTCCTTCAATTGATGAAGGAATGAATCTGGGCTGAACGTGACAAAAATCGTTTCATTTGGTTGGTCCTTCAATTGAATCTGGGCTGAACGTGACAAAAATCTTGTGAATCGTATTAGTATTTTTTGTTATTTATACAGTTTCTCTATGCATAGCATACTAGTACTGTAACTGCAACGTCTGTCCCTAAAGTCCCATGAGGCCCGATGCACATGGTAAAGGAATATTTCACGTTCTGTGGTATGAAATGTTTAAATTCCAGGCTGACATCTCTGGAAGGTTCTGTGTCTGCCTGATGTACCAGAGGATTTAGGCTGACAGCATGGACTCTTGTAAACGGGTCACGTTGATTTGCCACGGGTCATAAGTGTGAACCGACTCAATTTAGAAAGAGTAAAGACAGAGAGTCAGATCTCACTGGCACGTTTTCTGGAGGACACGGCGCTGCGGCGTTGTACAGTGTGGCTGGTGCTGCAGTGTTTGACTGATTATAAACCAGTGGAGGCTGGGTAATCTCACAACCGTCTTTACTGCTGCAGACAGACACACAGGTTAGGGGATAGTGCTGGCCTAGCAGTGTTTTAGATCATCTTGGATGACTGCCCTGTTTGAAGGAGCGCCCATGACCTAATGAGGAGCTTGTTACAAAAGACAGACATTCACCTTTATTATGTTTATGCTCAGTTCATCTGAAGTTTGTCTGTGAAAGAAAAGTGGTCAAGTGAAGAGTTTAGACACAGCGGCGCTTTGCTGTCAGAGCAGCTGGTCTTTGAATTGGTACAGTAACTCATCTGAAGGGCTGTCAAAATTAACACTTTAATCATTCCATGAATTCAAAAAACTGACTGTGTTGAGTGTGTGATCATTGCTCACACTGGCATTTTCTGCTGGCACCACACCTAATCCAGGCTCCAGTATATTTATTAGGATGTGTATTCATTTGGAGGGTTTTTTTTTGTCTTTATTATAAAGCATCAGTGCAGAAGAAATGAAAAGAAATGGTCAGAAAGAAGAGAAAAATCTTGTTCTAGTCAGAAGTCCAACATTGGCCTGGCTGCCCAGAGAGCTGTGCTGCTGTGGTTGATGCCCTCCATCTCCAGCACCACGAGGCTGCCTCATACTGTATGTATCATTTGACAATACAATATGAACAGTAATGACCGACACTGCAGGGACTGTTGGCACTGTCTGTGCCGTTTCCCTGCTCAGACAGACATAAAGAACTGAATGAATGAACAGACAAACTAACAGTGACGTACCGTCAACACCAGGAACAGTGTTAGAGTCAGTGACTTATTCTTCAATATATTTACCAGGAATATTTGTATTAATACAGAGTCTGTCCTCATCATTTGGCTGCTGACGACCTGGTTGTGCTGCTTCCAGTCTTCTGTATACTAAACTGATTCAGTCATCATCTGTTGCCAGGGTAAAATATTTTTTTTGGAAGAAATTCATATCTGTAGGTTTGCTCAATCAAAAGGAATGTCTGTAAATGTTGTTGGTTTAAATTTAATGTATATAAAAAAACACATTACATTGAATTGTATTTGCATGTCATTAGAGGCAAAAATATATATTTTTCAAGTCATGGGGTTTTTTGCTTAAATACATTTAGAACAATTGTTTTGTAATGTATTTTGTCTGGGTTTTTTTATGGTTTCTTATTAACATGAAACCATAAAAAATACAAATTAAGAATATTCTTATACTATAATAGTATAGCGTTTGTATTCTGGGTAAGTCAGGGTATGACGAGGGCTAAACCTCTGGGATACCAAAGTGTTTCTTAGGCGGTGGAATGTTTGTCTACACCTGTTCAAAGGTCCCTTGTACATACGGGTACTTTTATATAACATGTATATATAGTGCCGTGCCACTTCAGTCATGCACCTTGTATGGCTTTAGCGGAGCTATCTATGCAGCAGATGTATCTATGTGGGCTGAACCCAGGTCATCTGCTCTGGTCAACAGGTGGAAAAGCAGAAATGTGATGACAGACCTGTATAAGTACCCAGGAGAGTAGACCGTAAGATGCAGAAGGCAACATCTCTGCCGTAGCAGCTGCTAAGGTAATTGAGAATGGACCCAAGTCCATCCCCAAGACTTACTCTGTCCTTCATTCATGGAAATCTGGAGGAGATTTCCAAGATTGAAATGTCAGGACTGGAGTCCTGTGTCAGCTTTCTGTTGTTTTCATCCTCTTTGACAGTCTGATTTTCTAATGTGTTGCAATAAGTATGTGAAGATGGATCTGAGATCATGTGAGCCTTTTGAAAAAGCCCTAACGCTGCTTGCTGTGTGAACTGGAGCAGTGGCAACCACAGAGAAGCCACATGAGCCCAAAAGCAGTGTAGTGAGACGCAGAGCTGAGCTGAAGCCTGGGAAAATGTTTCAGTGAAAAATAAGCCGTGCCTCTGAACATCGTCTTCATCTGGACGTGCCTGGAGTGAAACCTGGACAGTTTTTAAAACATTTGACTAGAAGATCTGAATATTTGTCTCCTGAGTCAAACCCAGTGCAGTCTTAGTACGACGTACCGTAGCCAAACACACGTGTGTTGGTAAATAGGTGTTTGTTGACGTCAGTGAGTCAGAATGACGATAGGTTGTTGACCAAGTGATGGCACTTTTGTCTCTTTTGAGAGAACAGGTTTTTATGGCTCCCCCCATGCCTTCTTGGATTTCTTGTTGCTAAACTTAATTTATTACCCAAAATAATGTAAAATTATGATTTTAAGATTTAATGATGATTGGAAAAAAAACCCACCATATGGATGACAAATAAATTATTCTTTATTTGGCTTATTATATGCTACAAAAATCCAGTTAAAAAAGTACAAAAACAAAAGATCAACGAGTGACAGTGGTAAATACATCTGTCTACAGTAAAACACACACACTTAAAAAAATAATAATAATAAAACTCCAGTGTGATCTAATGTGTCTGAGCTGTGCTCCATGTAATGACATTATGATGGCACTTATGTAACGACTCATTATACTACATTTCTGCATAATATTGATGTTTCTGTAGACATAATGACGTTATTAAGATGTGGATTTACTCAGGCAGGACGCCACTGAAGGCTGGAGGTGTGGAACACATGGCACAGCGCTGAAAAATAATAATGGGGAGAGAGTTTCAGATGACGTGAGACAGGAGGCTCTGTGGACGGTGATGTTTGTCAGAGTGAAGAGCAGGTGGAAGAAACCCCAGAGGTGGAGGTTTGTTTTGGAGTCAATATCAGCACAACAGGTGTGTAAACAAGGGTGAGGGATAGAACATGGAGCTGGAATGAGTGAGGGTAATAAAAGTGATGGGTTCAAGTCCTCTGGGTCAGTATTACAATGTAATGGACAGACAGGTGTCTGTTTCAAATTCAGAGAGATCCAAAGTGAGCAGATCAGTTTGGAGATGAACCTAAAAAGTTCACGATGGTTCGCAAATGTGTCAGAGCTGATTTATAGACTGTGCGAAAAATGACACGAACATGTTTTGTTGCTGTAAAAGAGCTAATGGACAAGGTGAGAAGGAGGCGACTAGTGCCGTGGTGACCCAGGTGAGGAGTAAGAAGCGTAGCGCTCCTCAGTGGCCGTGCAGCTCCTCATGGCTCTCATCACACTTTAAAAGAGGAGAACAGACTAAACATGGAGAGACTGTGTCTGAGTCTGAGATCAGAGGAGTGTGAGCTGTAGTCTGGAGGTGTGTGTCTGCTCTATAGGTGATGCAGAGGGTAAGATAAGAAAAAAAAATACACTTCTGACCCTCACTAACTGTTTCTAAATAAAATACTGTATTTTACAGACAACAAAGATGTTCTGATTCGTGCTGTGTTTTTATAGAGCATTAAATTGAATCGTGAATTGCTGTTCCCATGAAACACTTTATGAGGGCAATTGTCGACATCGTGTATAAAGTTAATCATCTTCTCCTACTAGAGCCACGGGCAGCTGCAGTGTAGAGACTACGTGACACACTGATGTTTTGGAGAGCGGTAGATTTGGAACACAAGCAAAGTGAATCATCTCTGAATCTCTTTATGACTTTGCGTTCACAATATATGGTTCACTCTAACAGTGAACTGTTATTTAAACGGCCTGCTTTAACAAATGACTAAACATAGTAGTCTTCAAAGTTTCATTTTTACTGACAGGATTCTGTTTGTTGTGCAACCACGGAAAAACCTGTGCCAGCATCCATGACATCCACGTTGTCATGGATGTCAGTGAGTTGGTTTCAACAACACCACCGTAGATAAACACTTTCGATATTACTTAAAAACAGACATTAATGGACTCGTTTTCAGTGTGAATTCTGGGTACATGAACTGAGGATTAGTTGAGGACAAAAACAGTCAAAACGGCCTCATGAGCTGCTGAGGAAAAACAGAGAGGAAATATTTCCAGAGGCCACTCAGCTGTGTATATATAAATAATCTGCAGGGATCTGAAAGTGGCCATGTACCCATCCTCCCTCTGCCTCCAGCCTCCAGCCCTGCTGCACGATCCCTCTCTCCTTTCCTCCCTTCCTTGCTCTGTTGGCCAGCGCCACTCGGAGTGTCTCGGGGCAGATTTCTCCCACAGTTGGGAGTACTGGCTTGTGTGGCGGCCTGTTTATCCTGGAGCGTCGACTTCCTAGTGGCAGCCTGCACCTATCTAAACATCCCCCCGGCTGCTGCTTTGTTTTCCGGGCCTTCCAAAGCCGCCCCATCCTCTTTCCTTCACCCATCTCTCCAGGCACTCTCCTTTTCTCTCTTTCACACACACGCCCACTTCTTGCTTTACCCTGTCTCAGTGTCTGTCCTCTGGTCACCGTTGTCCATTTAGCGTCTATCACTTTCCTCAGTCATTTCCCTCTATCTGTGTGATTTATATCACAATGATGATAAAGATATTTGGCAGATCTTTCAGTCGTCACTGACTAGATTTATCACTCTATTCTTTTTTTTGTATTTTGTAAATATTTTCACCATCTTGTCTTTTTCTAATAAATGATGTCTTTCACATGTATATATAATACAGAGATGTTTCACACTCTAAATAATGTACAGTTTATACAGTTAATCATGGTAATTACAATCAGGATTAATTAATCCATAGGCCCTGCTTGATTGATCAGATAAAAGTTTCTAATAATCCATAGGCCCCGCTTGATTGATCAGATAAAAGTTTCTAATCATTTTGTAGACTCATACACACACACATATATATAAATATCTATCTATCTATATATAACAGAATATTTTGACACGTATTCCCAGATTTTGGCAGATTATAAAATCTACTGATCTACTTTGTGTTTGTTACGATTTGATCATTTTCTCTCTCTCTCTCTAATTTACAAAGACATGTACACACACACCTTTCTTTTGCTTGTTTATTTGTGGTCCTATCAGTGCCTGTCCAAAAGTGCAATGACAGGATATCTGGTGTAACACAATAGCAGGGTCCGTCCCTGGAGACGTCTTTTTGTCTGTGTTATACTCAGACTGTGAGTCCACTGGAGTGTCCAGCTCATGGCTTTTGTCCAGGGAACAGCGTGAGCTCTATCTGTAACTCCTCAGCCTCGGGGCAAACTGTGAGGACTGGCTCTCAGTTCGGTTCGCTGGTGTTTATGTGTGCAGACACCTGCTTTTATTCCAGACTCCTCCAACTGTGAGCCCTTATCTCAGCCCGGGTTTTACACTGTTGAAGAATGAGCTCTCTCCAGGGATATCCTCGGCCTATTTTGGCCTGTTCGCTTGAACGCAGAAGCAGTTGAAGGATTTGCTCAGTGCGATGTGAAGAATGTTGGACGAGCACCGACTGCTCGGACTCTGGGGACGTGTGTGCGTGTTCATGTTGACTGTGGGTGAAGTATGTGTATTTGTGTTAAGGGCAAAGTTGTGAAGTGTGTAGGTATGGCAGTGGCGGGGGCCACAGAGCTCCAGTGAAAGTGCGCCCTTGCTGACAGATGAATTTCTCTAATTAGAAATCCATAACATCCTGCCACATGGCCGCCTTATCCTCAGCACACTTCCTGTTCTGGACCAGGCTGACGACAGCCAGCACCGCTCCTTCCGTCACTCTTACTTTGGCAGTGTATCTCTGTGGGTGTCTCCTTCATCACATACCAAGTCTTATTTATCAACTTTACCTAGAATTTGCTTAAGTAAGTATGCACGTGTAGATATGTTGGCGTTTGTGTGTGTGTGTGTGTGTGCGTGCGTGTGTGTGTGTGTGTGTGTGGAGGGGATGTTATACCAGCCCTTTGTGTCTGGGCTACTGCTTATTTGGCTGGCTTTCTGTCTCTATCACTTCCTCTGTTTTTGCCACTCTCCTGCACTCCCCCTCCCTTCTCATCCCGCCCCCGATATCTGGATGGGGGGCACGAGTTGAAGGAGTCCAGACACACAACAGATGATAACAGCATCTCCAGCTCTGGTTTCTTTCTATTTTTCTCTTTCTTCTTTTACTGTCTCTCTCTCTCTCTCTCTCTCTCTCTCTCTCCCTCTCTCCCTGACAAGCTGATTGGTGCCAGCCCAGAGGAAACGCAGCAGGTCTGTGAAGACATATCATGACCCATCATAAACATTATGCAGAGCTTAATGGGCCTCCTCGACGCTCTGCTCTTTCTCTGCCTTAGTTATTACCAGGGGAGTAGCTCCAAAGTTGGCGCAGCTCTGTTACCCATGGGGCAGTGTGGGCTGGCATCACTACTCACTGAACATGACCAACATCTTTGACAACGTTGAACTGATTCTGAACTGAACAGAGGGCAAACAGAACCGAGCGTTCGGTTTAGTTCTGAACTATCCTGCTGTCACGGCATGTGTGAAGCAAAAGGACAGATTCCAGTCCAACTGGTGTCACTCACTGGCCGCTTTCTTTTACATGTTTTAGGCTCTTATAAATCTCTGCCATCATTCTGGTATAGCACATCAGAAAAAAATGTGTGGAATGTTTCCTAAAACTTTTTATTGAAAACTCTTCTGCAGTGAAGTCATATCTGTCACTAGCTGCACCAGATTCTGACTTTTTATCATTTAGAGTTGAGTTTTAAAGCAGTTTTAAACTGAGTTGTCTGTTTG